ATTAAATGCTTATTAAAGTAGTTTGGTTTGTCTAGAATCCCAGCTATTTGCTCAATAAACTAAATGGATATTACATATAACGGGCTATCTCTCTATAGCCCGCCAGCATCTTTAATCTATTGCAAATTTCGATAATCGAGCAATTACAATAACAATTGCCCGCGCATTTATAGCGATTATAATTAAATCCAGATCGCGTTATTCAGTGGATTACCGCGTGATTGTCATTTAGTTGGAGATTAATTGAGTGGCTGTTTTGTCTCTAAATTGCATTCGTAGGGGAATACATCAGCGGGATGGAATAGATAAACGAAGTATCATTCTACTGGAGTGACCGGTAAACAGGAACCTCCGAAAGTTCCCTTATCGTGGATCCAACACGCGGCCTAAAGATTTAAGCCACTTTGGTAGTTCCTTGGCCGGCGACATTCTCAAATTATACGGCGAACGATAAAACGAATCCTCCGCGAACTTGCCTTGAGTCGGGTCTTACGACAGAAGCCTTGAGGGGTGCCGGGACTACTCTCCTCCTCGTTTAAATATCGCCCTAATCTTGTTGGCCGGAACACCACATCCTCTCTCACTCTCTTTCTCTCTCTTCTTTCCCTCTTCTCCCGGTTCTCGTGCCTTAATTCTCCGTGAGCGTAAACTTCGGGGTCCGGATGACAAATCGCTGCGACCGCGGATTATCCGCGGACGAAAAACTAATTAAGTCGAAATACCGTGCCAGCGTCGCGCCGACCCAAGCTCCGGGCGAATTCCGTTGTCCTCCATGCCGAATATTTTCCGAGAGGCCGCGGATATCCCCCGTCCGTCTCCGCGTTCGTTCGAGCCGCACCAAGTATACGGCGCCAAGTGGGAGGATCACCGACGCCTACCGCTGGGACAAAAACCGAGATCGTCTCCCTCTCTTCATTCCGCTTATCTAAATAGTTGTCGGAGTCCATAAATCCAGCTGCTTAAAGCTGACTTGTGCTGTTCGCTTAACCCCTTTTATGCGCGACGTATACCTCGGCAGGATGCCGCACGAAAATTCGAAATCCTATCGAGCATGTCGTGATAACCAGTAGGAGGGAGGAACATTCAGGCGGTATTCTGAAGATTCCCGTTCGCCAAGTTTTAATACCTTAAATCCCTGCTCTTGATTATAACGAATCTGGCTCCAGTTCAAAAGCACTATTGATTCTAATAAGTAATTTTCGATATTACAATCAATGCTCTGACGATACGATCGTTCGACTGTAATATCGAATTATGTCTCTTCTCGAATAATATCTTGGTGTCTAAATCTGAACTCAGTATTCTGCCAAATATAATAACTTTTTCATAGCGAGTTATTTTGATGATATTATTAAACAACTTGTGACAAAATGTAGCAATATATGTTGTAAGAACTTGTGCAAGAATTCCTCAGAAGTGAATAAGATTGAAATGCGAGTAGAGTCTTCGCATACCTAAAGCTTTTCTATAACAAGAAACTTTGTCTTTCACTTCTTTCCGCATTTTCTTGTTTTTTCTTTTTTGACAGCTTCTCCTTATGGATCATGCTCTGCATATCGATTACTAAGATTACAAATTTCAAATTCTACGGCCGTCTGTCATTATTTTGGCACTCAGAAACATAGGCTATTGCATGGGGAAGCGTCGCGATATCAGATACTTCGGAAGAGATATCTACTTGGAGAGTCTCTAGTTGGACCACCGCGCACCCTACTCTAAGTACATTCTAAGACGGACTTACCTCGTTGGAGATTAAGCTTAAGTCCTTCCGACAAAGTGTCACATTGTCTTGTCCTTATCGTGGCAATTGACTTTGGCGCGCATCGTGTTGGCTGTGTGCTCGCCGTAAGCCGCTGCAAAAAATACTTTACGACGGCTCTCAAACTGTATTCCGAGTGAGTGTCTTTTTCGCTAAGTCATTTGCATAAATAATTCCAATTGGATGTTTACTATATTTTTCCAATCAATTGTCGTTGGTCTTTAACGCTTTAATCTTTGCAAATATTTTTTTTGCTCATTACAAAGAGTGCTTTCATTACAAGCCGAGATTTACACCGAGATTTTCACCTTTCCTGCACATTCTTTACTCATCCGTAATGTGAAAAAAATTTGGATTAGTGGCTTGTTGCGTTATCTCAGGAAACGAATCTAGAGAAGCTCAACGAAAATGAGTTCTTACAAAATGCATCACGTCAGAAGGAAACGGGCCGCACGCGTACTGACTTTGTGATGAAAGAGGAAGAGAAATAGAGGAGAGGGGGAGAGAAAAAGAGAGAGAGAAGAGAAGAGAGCTGAATTTTCTTCTTTCCACGCCACTAATAGAAGTGTCACGAACAGAGCCAGGTCTTATAATCCGTTCGTGCTAATTTCAAACCGCATTGGGAATACTCGGGAACACGAAGAGCGATCGGACCACAGTTTTCCCAGATTTGTCGTCTCTCGGAAGCTTTAAACTTTTCAAACCGCTCATGGAACTCGTACAGGCACGGAATTCCTAAAAGTACAGATTAGAACTTTTCGATTTTTGCTTCGACTTATTAACGATTTACAATCAAATATATTATTTTCATCTATTTTTCTTATTTTCCATCATAATATATTCGTAATAATTTTTAATGTATTTTCTGATAAAATTTTCACGCAAAATATTTATGCGAGTCGATTTTTCGTAGATATTTTAAATGAATGTTTATACATTCATAATAAAAAAAGTTATTTGGAAATTTTTAAGAATTTGCACATGCAAATTATCTTCTTTATCAAAATTTTCACCAAGTATTGAGCAATTACTGATTGATAACGTATACAAATTATATCATCAAAAACTGCTTTCAACTTTATAAAACTGTATATTACGCACGTACACAATCTTGTATCATGATCTGAAGGGCTTTCCCTGTTCTTGGTAACATTACGAGCCCTTAAAACGATTAAGGACGGTCCGTTAAACGCACTACGATAGAAGGGCTCCGTCGGCCAGAGATAATTAAAAAGGTAATGAGTAAGCGGATATCTGCTCGTAGCGGAAAGGAGAACGGTACGCCTTAAACACGGTTCGACAGGCGACCGATGAAATAATGACGCAGACGAAAAATCAATCTTCTCCGCAGATAGGGTTTCTTCGATATTAAAGGAAGCTCGAACCATCGGTGTTAACTTTTATCACGAGTGCAGCAACACTAATAATAACAGAAGCGTAATGCTGTCTATTTTATTATTTCATTTGTTATATTAATATTTACTACATATTATTACATATCTTTAGAATGAAATATGACGCAAAGAGAAGGACTATACATTATTTAAAACAAGTGTTTCAGTATTTTTTTTTTACCAATATATAAAGGAGAATGAATTTGATGTTTTCAGATTTTTGGGATATAATGAAAACTATTATATTCTAGAGTAATTCTTTATTTTATTTTTTTCTAAACCTTAAGTCCGCACACAGCTCTTATATGATGACAATCATTAGATTCATTTCTTGTAGCGAAATATAGCGATACAGCTTGCTAGGTACAATATATTACAAGAACTTAATCCCTCAAACGTGAACAAAATTAAGGTATGAAGTCTTCGCATAAAGCTTTTCCATAATGAGAAACTTCGTCTTTCATTTCTTCCACGATCCGCGTTTTCTTGTTTTTTTTTTCTTATTTAGTAACTCCTTGCGGATCATGCCCTGCATGCCGACCATGAAGATTAAAAACTTGACAACTTTTGTCGAATCAGCATAATGCTGTTCCGATAAACGTTCTTTTAGGAGTTGTAGGAACTTTATTATTAAAACATTTCTCTCTACTTTATCTAATAATAAATGCTTATATTTCTTTAGTATGATGAAGAGGAAAATGATACGAAATTTTGAATACATTGAATAGACAAAATTAACAGTAAAATAAAAGAACTTTAAACATTCAAATCGATGCAAAACATGAAGAAATATAAATATGTATAACTTTGCAAAAAATAATTATAGAATCGAAAAAAAATGATTTTCAGAGAAAAATGTTTTAAAATCTAAATACTCTAGATAAAAACAAAATGATTTTTATAAATATATGAGACATAATAATCGATCTTATGTAATTTCTCATGTAACGAATTTATTTCAAAAATCGCGATGAGAAATAGATTTATTAGAAACAGAGAATTTTCGTCACTTTTTTAGATTATTCGAATGCATTTAATTATTGTATGTAGAACATAATCGAGGGGAAAAGATGCAACGTCAACATAGGGCGTGTATATTTATCAAGAATTTGCAGAGATCTGATTATTTGTTCTCTCTGTTACGATCGTATAGGAAAATATTTGCCTCTCCATGTGATCTAACGGGAGACAACTCGATTTCTTTTGCGTTGCATGGAAAATATTTTTCAAATCCAAGTTACCCAACACAGCATCAGAGGAAAAATAAAAGCATTGCTTATCAGTCAGGGAAATTTTGTATCCTATATTGCTTGATTTTTATATCATCAGAGTGTATATCATAGAGTGTATATCATAAAGTGTACTGCTTGTTTTCGGAACTTAATTTATCTTCGTCGTATTGTGCGCATAACTTTTATGCGTCGAAAGATGATATTAAGTTTTATGTACGTTATAAAAATTATCAAATTTTCTTCCGTATTGCTAGACGAATTTAAAGCTTTCTTAGCAAAACATAAACATTGAGCTAAGAATTTTTTCTTTTATATTTTGTTATTCCTTCAATATTGAATATTGAATAATTAAATATTATGTAAAAATTTTGCTCAAGTAAAGTTTCTTAATATTAAAATATAAAAATAAAGACTATTCACTCTCAATAAAGCTTATTCGCGGATGACAATTTATCTTTAGTCATTTAGAAGAAAAATATTTATTAGATTTAACCTACAACGCAATCTCAAATTTTTATATTTATAATTTTGTGACAATCTGTATAATACATAAAATACATATAATAATCGATGTTTTTATTAAAAGTAGACATAAATTACATATAAATAGCAATGTATGTGTTATATTTTTTCTTTATTTTTTATTATTAATTTTACATATGGTTAATAGCTTATAACGATTATGAATTAATGTATTAAACATATTAACAATTCATGTGGCACAAACATTGTAGGATCATATTGTCGCGTACAATCACATAACAGCGGAAAGATTACGAGAGATTACGTAATCTGAAATTATTAAATGAGTCTGTCATTGGGACCAGAATCGGGATTTTCGTGATAATTGTCTATAATTTTGACTGATTCCTTCGTAACACTTAAACTTTTGTTCTTCCTTCGTGGCGGTGTAGGAATTTGTTCCAAATCCTCCGCTAAGTCTTCCACGTTTTGAAACAATCTACTAGGCTTCTCGGGCGCTTCTCCTACAGAGCCTGCACTACTTCTATCTTTTGCATCAGCTGCGATGCCTTTGAAAAAATCAGTGCTTGATCTCAGTTCCGACTTAACGACAGAATCCTTAAAATCAGGGCCCGTCGCCTCGTCTAAATTTTGTGACGTTTCATTATGCGGCGATTTCTCGTCATCTTCCAAATCGACGTCCATCATGACCTTCTCTTCCCAGGCGCAGAACGACACTTTTCTTTTCTTCGGTGTCGACATCGTGTCTCCAAGGGGTTGTTCTGAAGACACGGACAATCGATCTGTCTTATTCTCAGGCGTACTATCGACTAGAATGTCATCGTTAATTGAACGACATTGATCCGACACATTTCTGTCGATCGCATTGTGCTTCTCCACGGGTACGATTTCCGGCTCGAGAAGCTTCTCCACAGGAGTCTGTTTGCATTCCTCGCTCGTGCTCTCTCGCTTCATAATTTCATCGGGCTGATCCTCCTTCTCCAACATATCCGAAAGCGCTGCCTCCAGCTCGGTGAGGCTTGGCGTCATCGAACTGAGATTACTTCCGTCGGCTACCTCGTCGTTTAAAACCTTCAGCAAGGTCGAATGATCATTGTCTAGAATCTGGGCTTTGATCTTTGGCTCCGGACTCGGCGGTGGCGTCTTTACCCGCTGATCCTGGCAATCCTTCTTCAATTTGTTCGTCGCATCCTTGGCCAGCTTCTCATCGAAAAAGTCGACAATCTCCTCGTCGACTCCCTCCAGCATCTCCTGCGGCAGCGACTCCTCCGATATCGTTCTGATTAACTTGTTCGTTACGTCGGAATGTGCACGCAACTCCTTCGACTCGTACAGATCGTCGTACGGCTCGCTCTCGTTCGACAGGCTACGGCCGAAGATCAGCCTCGATTGGTCGGATCGATCGGATTCCCGGATGACGGCGCCGTTCCTGCAGGACCCTTCGATCGTATCTGCCAAATGGAACGTCCGCGGTTTAACTAGTCACGTACGCGAATAGTTGGGTACCTTCTACACTCTAGACGATTACCCGACCGACCGGGATAGAATCCAAGAGCGAATAAGTGCATGGGATGGGAAAGGGCGCGGAAGTTGCGGTCGGACATATATTTGGTTTACATAGCCGACGATTTCTTGTAAATAGGGAGAAGAATTTCACTCATCGTCACTTTTTCCCTGGACTGAGATTCGTTTCGAATCGTTTTCTAGGGAACTTTGAAACGAGGAGATTGCGATAAAATGTCGAAAAGTTAAGAGAATTTACAATCAATTAAGATCATTTATCGATTAAAAATTGGAAATTAAATTACTTAATTGAATTATTAGATCATTTCAAAATATTATAATATAAATCAATTTTTAGCGTTAATTTTAAGCCAATAAACTATAAAATGAATTTTTAATATATTAATTGAGACCTTTTAATTATGTGCATATTACAGATCTGTAGTACTTTTATGTTCGATCTTTGTATTTAATTATCGTAAATATTTACCAAAAGCCGAACGATGAAGTTCTTCGTTTAGAAAAAATGGTTCTCTACGAACTGGCGAGGTTGCTAACTCGCAAGTTGGTGAGACTTGACAGATCTCCGACATCTTAGGAGGATCGAAATATTTTAACGATCTGAAATCAATTGATCGCATGTTACGCATTAATCTTCTAATTGTAAAATGTACACAATTTTGCGCAGAATATGTATTAATCTCGGTACCTGTTTTGGTCTGTTAGCCAATCATCAGAATACTTTGATTCTTTGTCGGAATCGATTATCGGCGATGCTATCTTGCCGAAAGATTCGGGTTTCTGCAACGATGAAGTCATATCTTGAACGCACGAGATTTTCATCTCAGTCGACTCGGTTTGCCCGGCTTCGTCATTTCGCGAGTAATCGACAACATCTACACCCTCGGAAAGTCCACTTTTCGCAGGATCATCGTTATGAATTTCAATCCGCGGCGTATTCTATAATCCATTATTTAACGTATACAAATATTGCGTATTTTTTTACTTTGTATGAAAATATTTGTACCACTTAATTACATTGCGCAGAAGTGATAGTAATCTGTTAAGAGATAGTAATCGGTTAAGAGGTATACACTAAAAGAAATTAATTATTTCCTAATCAGAACGGCGCAATGTCCCGTGATAAAAAGAAATTTGTAAATATTCCAAATCTACGTATATCTGCTTTCGCGAAAGCGAAGATACACTTCTTAATACGATTAGTTTCTTTGTTGGAATACTAGCGCTAACGGGCGTGAGCTTAATATCGATTTCAACGCGGCTCGCTTTGTAAACGTACCTCGACAGAGAAACGTTGGTTCGAGTCGCAATTACTGATGTCACTGAGATCCCAATCCTCCAATTTACTCGGATCGTACTTCATGAATCCGCCGCCAGTGACCTCATTCTCGCTGGAGCCCAACTTCCCCAGCACTTGATACAGCGATAGGTGCTCGATGCTGCCACGTCGCGGGATGTAGTCTTCCAGACATACACTTGTTTTCTATAATCGAGAAATAACACAAGTGTAATCATCGTATTAATTTTGTGACTCTTTTGGTACGTCAACACAGCGAAATAAATTAAATTAAAAAGTTGATAGAAAGAAAAGTGAGAAAACATATAGAAAAAATATGACTTTATCTAGATATCTCTTTGATGAAATATCATAAGATACTTTCTACCCACTTCAAGTTCAAAGAAAATTTGAAAATTTTTTAATACAATGACAATTGTATAATTATAATCCAAAAATTGTGCAACGATAACCGTTTTTATCCAATCGTTACATATATATATTTTTTAATAAATAGCTCGATTTTTCAAAATTTCTATCAATGAAATAAAATGGTGGAAAATGATTGCACTAAACCTCAGAAAAAGGCGACAGGAAAGATTCGGCCGGAAGCGAGACAGTGCTGCATCTGACGGGTCTCTTTGACTTCATTTTCTCTCCCACACTTTCCTCGTCGTTCGTCGCGTCTTTCGCAGGATGCCTAGACACGTCCAACTCATCGTAATTCGGCAAGCTAACGGTGCTGTAGTTCTTCGTTCTTGTATTTACTTCCGGTCTGTCGTCGTCCCTCGAGGAATCCCTGATCCGCCTCTCGAGCTCCTTCGACTTCCGTCTGTCCTGGCGATTAGGAGTCGAAGAGTCCTTGATCGACTGATTCCGGGCGAATCTCTCGTATTCCTCGTTCTCGAGAACTTTCCGGTGATGGTGGCCCGACTCCGAAGCCCTCGAAGTTTTCTTGTCGGCGGGCGTTCTCTTGCCAGAAACCACCTCGCTGGATATTATCCTTCCGGTACCGTTAACCTATCGAAGGAAGTCATTACTTTCGTTATCGAAGTCGAACAAGGGATTCGAGATTAGCATAATTTCTAATAGTACGCTGCATATATTTTTTGCTTTTTATTTCCTTCTTATAAATTAGACGATGCTGTGCAAAAATGAATTGATCTATCGATATAATTTTGAGCAAATTAAGTATGAAAAGTTTCACATTGCAACGTGTAATTTTCTTCTTAAATTTTTGGATTCTCTCTTCTCTTTCTCTCTCTGTCTAAAAAAAGGCATGACATCGATATCTCGCATCTCTCGAAGTATTGTTCTCTCTTTTCCGCAATGCTGAATTGGTTGTCTCGCAGCGGTTACTTCGTGAGCGGCTGTCATGGCATATTTTAACAGTTGTGTGTACTGAGGAGTACTTGACAGAGTGTAGGCATAGCAAATATAGTAAAAAGTGAAAAACGTTAAATAACGCGCGCGAGACGCTCGTCTGTAATGCTAGTATAATAAATAGGTAAATAAAACAGTCGCTCCAAATTTGTGATAATAATATGATATTTTAAATAATTAAAGTTATTCATTTTTAATTTATTACAAGTTATACAAAGCATTTAAGATTAATCATTTTCTTTGATTGCCAAATTTCTTTATCAAATAACGAGATAATTTAAGCGCGATAACATTTAATAATATTAGATATGCGTGATATATACGCGTCCGCGTTTGATTTATGTTTCTACGAATTCTGTGCCGATTAAAACTGGACAGACAAGTTTCACTAAAAATACAAATTGTATTTCATACAATCAATAATGTCATGTATCTGTACACAATGTGAATAGCACATGTGATTTACATTGTTTATCAAAATTAGCGAATATAAGAATAATCTAATAAGTAAGCTGTTTGAAATATAAAAATTGTGCTATATCGAAATGCGATAATATGGCATTGATTCGCTGGCTTTGGATAACTTGAAATATGTCAATTACGATGAGCTAACTCGCCTTATGTTCGTAAATCTCTTTCGTCCTTCGACCGTCATGCTTCGGATCTTCCGTACAGGTCTTTCCCATTCCCCGCGTCTCGACTTCACCGTTCTGGTCGTTGCTACTCGTCTTCGGCGATCTGACCGACAAATATAACGGTTCCTCGCTCGTATCGCTGCGTCTCAAATTATTGGTCACGTTCTCAGGAATCTCGTCCGGTTTCGGCGGCAAGGGTCTGCTGCTCCTGTTTCTCTTTTTTCGTCTCGGAGGTGGCACAGGAGTGATGTCCTTCAGATTGGCACCTGCGGCGATATACATTTATAAACGAATAAACGACGCGGTTACCGCGCGGCGCGCGCTCGGTGTATCTATTTTGTCCGATACAACGATGCCTGTAGCATGCAGATTGAACGACTTTAACGACTTTAATAATGCCTAACAATATCGGTGGTCGTTACCCGCGTCATCGTTGCAACGTTAACGCGACTCGTTAAAGATCTACATAGTGTAGCGATAAATTATGCGGGCTTACGGCTTACGTTCGGACAAGAAACGGAAGAGAGGGCCGCACGCTGACGGTTAAATTTGCGAGAGTCCTGCCAGTCCTGCAGTTACGGCTTCATAACCAGATACTTGAAATTGCGTTCCGTACGAGACGAAAGGTAGCAATATTACGCGCACAGACGGCCAGCAATTTTACGCGACGTCACGACGTAATTTCTATATATTCAATCTCATCGTGTCTTTAATTCTCTTAAACTGCGCTTGTTTCACGAGTCGCGTTCATTAAAAAATTTTAATTAGATACCTTTCATCTTTCTTAATGCGTTTTAGATTCCGCTACGCGCCGCGCCGTAATTTCATTTTGTTTCGACTCGCGTTTTCGACTCGTACTCGTAACGATCTAACGATTGCCGGACAATCTGACGATAAATTGTGAGCTTACAGCTGAACATAGGTGTGGCAGCGGGACGTAGACTAGTGTCGACGATCGAGCTCATTCTGGGCGGACTGGGCACTTCGAGATTGACATCCACCCAGTCGCTAGGATGAAAAGGCCTGTCCACGGAGTCTATGCTCCGTCCCCTCGTGAGCACCTCCCTCGGTGGTGAACCGGCGTATCCTATTTCGGAGCTACACAGAAAAGATTAAGTTGAGCCGCTGCTTCCTCGCTATAACGCGCTCTATATGGCTTGGAATGTAAATATATGACAGCCATGAACGAATTTGATACGTGTAATCGATCATCATACGAGTATATGTTGCGTTAAGTTGTGTGAAAATCTATCGTGATGTGCGCATGGGTACCTTAACTCTTAAGCGATATACTAGCGGTACATAGGTACGAGTAATTAAAAAGGAATCGCATATCGAAGATTTATACGTAAGATATTTAATAACTGGCATATATATATATATATATATATATA